AGGATGTTTTACTCATCCAATATGAACTGCAGAGGGAAAGGACTTATTTGGGACTGTATCTCTATGGTACGTAAACTCCATCCTAAAGTAACTTAAAGCTGTCGTGGGACACCAAAACACGCATGTAAAATTGTCAGTTAAACCATGCAGCACCTCAGTTTCACCCACAACCAGTGATTTTCCTCAGACTGCTGCTCCAGAGGTCACAGGATTATTTACAAACCCTGTTAAAACTTAAATCTCTTGGCAGAGCAGAAAAAGTAAGTTAAAGAGAAAACCCGCTTACACCACAAGTATTTAAAGAACAGGAAACAAATACAATTCAGCATCGGTATCACTGTAAAATCTCAATATTTTTCAAACCAACCATGATTTTTCGGTACTTACCTCCCAGGGCAGAGCACGTGGCTTTGCAGTACTGGCACAGGCAAAGCAGATCAGATGTCCTCACAGCTCCATAAAGCAGCATTTTAGACCTTGATAAGGTTTCCTGTTGCCCTTCCGAGCTGCAAAAAAGTGGCTTAAGAGTTTGAAGACAAGTATAGAAAACTGCCCCCCATACGCAGCCTCAGTCCCTCGCGATGCCCCAGGGGCATCAGACTGTCCTGCAGCCCCTTAAAGCAGACAGAACCAAAGCTGATCGGGGAGAGGGTGAAAAAAAAAAAAAACAAACATGCTTGAGGTTGACTTTCTTGAGGGGGGGGTGAGAGTCCGGTGGGAGCAAGGAAGGGCGGGAACATGGGTGCAAAGGGCTGTGCCAAAGCCACCAGTTCACTTTTTAATGCCTGGCAAACGCGTCTCATTTTCCAGCCCGAAACCTGAGCGTGAGCACAGCCCAGCGGGATGAGTTTGAGCTCCACGCCAAGCGCCTGGGGCTGAGCCAAGAGGAGATCGTGTACGCGCCGTGGAGAACGGTACGGGGCTGCTCGCCGGTGGGCGAGGGTCGGCAGAGCCATCACGGCCCCCACCCTGGATATCAAAGCCCTGGGGGATGTAGGTCCAGCCACCAAACTAGGGTCTTGGAAAGGCATTTTTGGAGGTGGTGGAAATAATTTAGGGAACTAAACAAGCACAGGTTATGTCGACAGAGACAGTGGTTTTGAAATACACACACCTGTTCTTTCAGGGGAACTGGGGACGGGGAGAGAGGCACAGGACAAACCCTCATGGAGGGCAGGGACAGGTCTCCCGTCAGGCAACGGGCAGCACCAGGGAGGGAGGGTCCAGCTTCCCCACATTAACAGCTGGATCATGCTTAGGTTTGGGTGAGACAAATTACATTCCGAGAAAGTCAAGTGAAGTGGAATCAGACAGAACTGTCTGTCCTTACACGCCCTGGCATGATCACTGTTAGCAGAGAGGGGTTTCATGCCTGGCTGAGGGGCAGGACACGACACCTGAGGAGTGAAATGAAACCAATTAAACAAATGCAGCGAGGATTTAGGGGACTTTTGTTGTCAGGCTGAAAGAGATGGATGTGAGCAGAGCACCAGAGGAGAGACTCACGTACCCCTGCGTCAGCCCAAGGCATTAGCAGAGCTTAAATCACAAGTTCCTGGGTAGCATGACTTTTTTACTTGTTTCTCAAAAAGTTTGAATGCCCCTTTCCTTCAAGTCACGCTTACTGACCCCCTCACCATAGCATAGCTTTGCTCCGAAAACCTGGGGTGCTCTTTACAGTGTGGAAAACAGCACCAGCAGCAGCCCCAGAGCCAGGCGAGTGGCGCCTGTGATCGGGCAGGGCAGGGAAGATGATAATCAGATAAAAAGGAAAAAGAAAAATAGTTCTTTCTTTGGTAAATTCTCTCCTGATGGTGCAGTGGCAGTTTTACTTATCCCATTATTGTTTTGGAAGGAGCTGTGTCAAATCGAAGACATCAAAAAAGGAAACAGCACGTGCACGGAGCCCGTGGCCACAGTCACTGCGTCACCTTCTCCGGGCACCCCCCAGCCCAGGAGCGTGGGTAACTAACCCCACGTTGGGCAATAAATGTCTTGCTCAAACTCATGTGTTTGGTGGCTGAGATGTTGAAGAGCAGGGGTTCTGAAGCGAGGTTTGCAGGAAGAAACTGAACCCCCAATTCACCTTGTGTGTCTCTCAGCTCGGAGCTGGGAAAAGGCAACTGTAAGCAAGGAGCGAGGTAAGACGAGGGGACTCGTGGGAGTTTTTTCGATACCGACTCGGTCCGCTCAGCTTCACACCCAGCTCGCCTGAAAACTCCACTAAAAAAACATTCATTACTTAAATGAAGCAGTAATAGAAGCTAACCAGGAGAGGGCAATCATTAGCTATGCTAAACGAGCGCGCCAGGAATTCGAGAAGTAACTGGAATATATAGAAAGCAGAAGCTTCTCTTTAACTGCACAGTCTGAGAGATGGAGGGGCTTAGCGAGGAGCTAAACCAGCCCCGTTTGACGGCAGCTTCACTGCCAGACACAGCCCAGCTGGGGCAGATGTTCCTGCCCAAAGCTTTGGACCCGGCCAGAGCTCCCTGATAACGTTCACCCACAGCGAGGTTTGCAACACACCACAGCACCCACAAATCACCCTCCTGCCAGAGAGGGAGGGGGTGCTAACCCAACCCAGGCTGGATTTTTACTTCCCCAGAGGAAAAAAAAAGAGGTCAATGCTTCCTAATTTCCCAATAAGTTCAGCATTCTGCAGGCAAGAAGCTCCAAGTTGCACCTGGTGCCTCCAGCGCATCCCTGTGCTTGTGGCACCTCACGCAGCCCTTGTCACACCCCCAGCCCCGAAGGGAGGAGAGCACTGTCACTCCGGGCTTGTGAAAGTGGGAGGGAGTTTATAAAGAGACTGCTTTTTGCTGGAGACTAATGCAGCCTCAGCTCTGAAGAGCAATGTACCTAGAATTTAAGCACTGAAAATCTCTCTCTTCCTTAAAAAGGAAGAAAAGGAGAAAAGCTGGAGGGAACACCATGAAGAAGCGAGCCCTGCTCCTTCCTCTGCGGCACAGAGGTGTCCCGTCCCTGCATGGCAGCGTTTCAGTTTTGGTGCTAAGCCCTTTGTCTCCATTCCTCTCACAAAAACTGAATTTTACTTAAAGTACAGTTGATTTCCCACCTAGGTCTCGGGGCACAGGTACCTGGCCAGCCCTTGCTTCAGACACATCTTTACATTTTGTGTCATGAGCGGGTAACCCCCCCACCTCGACGAGAGAGTTACAGGGTAGGAGAGCACAGTGGAGCGGGGATGCTGCCAGCAGCCTTGAGTGATGAGGTCCAGAGCGATGATGAACTCTCAGCTGACACTGCCAGAGAGCAGTGGCTCGGATTACTGCAACCCAGACTTCATGAGGAGATTTACAGCCGAATAAAAGCCTTGAATTACACAGACACAGGCAACCAAAAAACCCAGTCTGGCCCCTGCAGCGAGTTCTGTTAATCAAATCAGAGGCCACTTGCTCCTGAATCGCCCTCCAGGATAGCTGGAAGCCTTTCTTTTGAGAAGCCTATAACCCAGGTTCCTTCGAGGGCGTAACTGGACTGCAGAGTTTCCAGCTTTTCTGGGAAACTCACTTCTCTGAACAGTTACGAACCCTGCAGGGATGAGTGAAGTCCAATGACACCAAGAAACATGTTAACAGTACTGGAACATCCCCAGCTCATCACTACCATCATCAGCGCGGATCTCAGGTTTGCCGGTTTTGCCTTTAAGAATTCTGCTCTCTTGGGTCCTCACAGGGAGAATCCTTCCCAGGGTCAGTGTCCTTGGTGAGAATCATCCCAGGAAAAATCTGGCCACAAACAGCACTGATAAACCATACCGGGAAAGAGATGCAGACACGTGGTATCTCTTTAACAGACCTTTATTAGCAGACTGTTCCCTACATGAAGAATCTGAGTTAGATTTGCGTTATAACAATTTGTGGTTACAGCTACAAAGATGGTTGTCATTTTGCATTGATTTTTGCATTCTGATATTCATATTCCCATTAGGCCACACTGGTAGGAAGGAGCCACTGCAGAACTTATGACAGGTCTCAAGAAGTGGGGGGTGGAAAAAAATCATATGAACTAATCCAGATTGGTTAGATTTCCACATGGCTAACGACTGGGTAGCCAAAGCAGAGCCTCACCTAGAAAGCTCCCCATGAACCACCAAAACCTATCAGCAAAAAATCAGCTGCTGAGTGCTACCAAGTCCTCCTCCGATTTCTCGCAAGCTCCTCCACAGCACCCATGTGCAGGAGAGCACAGCAGGGGTCTGCGGATTCATCCTCAAAGCACAACCGCAGCAGCTTGTGTTCAAGTTTCCTCCCATCTCTCTGGAAACCTGCATTTCCTTTTTTAGTCCCTGAGATTTCTCCCCTCCCCCCTTACCTAAAAAGAAATTCCCCGAGACCGCTCTCAATCAGCCGTTGTGACACCCAACATACACAGACCTTCTGCTTCCACACTTGAGCCACCCACCTGGAAGACTTCCAGCCGTGCACAGAGGCAATTCCAAACTAAGGCGAGCCTCGTGGTGCACCCTCCTCCCTCCTCCCCAGGTACTGCTTCCTCACCAGCTCCCTTCTCTCCTATGGCTTCTTGCTACAGAATTTCTCTGGGCTGAGGTCCTCCAGCAACCACCTCAGATGTGGGAAAGGCAGCTCAAGCCCCAGCGGGATGGTACGCAAGCAATCTCTGCGTCCCTCCCGAGGACTCAGCTGTGCGATGTAAGAGAACAAACAGAGAACTTTTTTTAAAACAGCAGAAATACAAGCACAGTAACAATATTTAAACAAATCTATAAAAATAGTCTGACATAACTCTGTTCAAATAAATACAAAATAAATATGCTTTAAGCAGTAACACAGTGGAATGCAACGCTGGTCCATTTTGCCCAAAAAGAAAAGTTGAATGAGGATCGCCCAGGCCTCAGCGGCCCATAAAGCAGTCAGAGAAATTTTAAAGCCATTTTTGAAAAGCACCCTTTGAAAGAAAAACAAGCGTGTCTTCACAAGCTCACCTCTCCCAGTGACAACCAGCCTCTCTTGCTACCAGCCCTTCCCACAGCAGACGTACTCCTGGCTCGGGGACTCCATCCCACTAACGCGAACCCGAACATCAATCTACAAAGAGGTCTAAAGAGATAGATAGCAGCGTAGGCACAGGGTTTGGAAAAGGTCCTCCAGCTACCCTGGGCACCAGGCAGAATGGAATTGAGAGGTCCATGCAACGCTGCACAGGGGCTCTCGTGTCGTGCCGGGAGCACGACTGCACAGGAGCTGTGAAATATTGTCTTTTGTTCATTGAAGCCATGCATTGAGGTGCCAAGTCCATCCAGGGCTCTCCTGCCTTCCCCTTTCCAAGCCCCTGCTGAGTATAAGACAAGCCAATCCCGGCATGCAAAGGATACAGGCATGCAGGCTCTAGTCTGCTGCTTCTGTTAGTAAGTGCATCTTGTTAGTGGATTTATGAGACACACTTAAACCTAGGAAAAATAAATAATCCCAATTCTTCATCAGGCTGGCCTAAGTAACCTTCAGCCTGTCTGGATAAACCACTGCCCACCAGCCCTCAAAACCAGTATAGTTCAAAGTTACATTTCATGTCATGTCTGGGAAGCAGAACGTGAACATCTCCTACCCAACGGAATTCAGGTAAACATAACAACAAGCCTGGTGTGGCAGCAGCTCCTACACAAGGTTTGTACCAATTTAAACAACAGGTAGGAAGTTAAACAACTGAATGGATAAAGAAGCTCTCTGAATGGAAAAAGAAGCTCTTTCAGCAAGTCAGAAGGTGCTCATCAGCAGGCAGACAGCTCTGCACACACAATACGCTGGAAGCAGACCCGTTACCTGCATCTTTGCTACTCTGCCCTGCTGCTGGGAACTGACTTCAGCAACTCACACCTTCAGATTCTCCCAGGAGTTCCCCTCCTGGTCTCCCAAAAGGCCCAACGAAAGGGACCACGTGATGGTTTACATGGAGCTCTGAGTAGCAAGATGGCAAAGGACACCAGATCCTCCCCTCCCCCTTACTGACTCACAAACTATCTGAGATTTCACAGCTTTACTTAGCTTAGTGTCAACACATTCACAGAATGAGAGATGGCCATACGTCTTGGGGCTGCACCCCAAGGTTTCAGAGTTCAAAGTCCTCAGCATCTCCTGGTCACCGTGACTGCACACCCAGGGTCATCTTCAAGTTTTCATAAACCACGTAGCTGATGCTCACAGCTGGGATCACCTTCATAAAGTTCGGCGCCAGACCCCGGTAAAGACCAAATGCTCCTTCTGTCTTCAGAATGTGTTTAAATAGTCCCCTCATCGTCACTTCGGGAGCACCCTCCACTGAAGCTGCAACAGGGAAAGCCACGATAAATAACACAGCGTACATGCTGAAAGCACTTCAAGGTAACATCT